CTCGGCCGTGCTGGGGCTGCTCAGCGGCGCCTGCCCCGAGCTCAACCTTGGCTTCGGCCTCGTCGAGATCCCCACAGAGGTGAGGGACGGAATTCCCGAGGAATTCCCAAATTCTGGGGGGATTCCTTGGGGGGAATTAATGGATCCGGGAGGGAATTCTTACAGGGAGGGGGCTCCGAAATTCCTGCCCCACTGAGACCCCAATGCTGGGGGGAAATTCCCAACATTCCAGAGGAGAATTCCCAACACTCATGGGGATATGGGAATTGTCATTGCCTGTGGGTCGGGATGGGATTTGGGGAGCCCATTCCCACCAGGAACGTTTCGGAATTCCCGGGGATTTGGGGTGGGATCCGTGGCCCCAATCCCACAGAGAACTCTGGAATTCCAGGGATTGGGATGTGGGGGTGGAGGTGGGATGGGGATGGATCTGGGGTTGGTTCCCCCAGGCCGGAACATTTCGGAATTCCTTCGTTCCCAGTTCCGGCTGCTGATCCTGGCGGTGCTGGCGGCCGATTTCCTGCTGGCCTTTGCCGTGGATCGGCTCCTGCAGCTCCTGCTGGGCAGCTCCCGCCTCCGAGTGCCTTCCTGAGCCCCCCGGATTCCCAGGGACCCCGAAAACCCCGAAATCATGGAATTCCCCACCCCTCGGAGAAGGCGGAGCCCAAATTTTTAACGTTTCCCAGGACGTCTCGGCAGCTTTCAAGAGTTCCCCGAATTCCCCCCCAGAGTTTCTTGGAATTTCCCACGATTTTCCAAAATTTCCCAAGAATTTTTTTGAAATTTGGCAGTGGAAAAAAGAATCCTGATCAAGACTTTTTTTTTTTTTCTTTGGAAAGAGTCTGGAATTGTCTTTGCTGGGAAAAAAAAATGGGAACGGTGGGAAGTAAAAATATTGTGGATTTACGGGCTGTGGATCCAAAATTCCCAAATACCGGGAATTAAAGACAGAAATTGGGAATTTACTGAGAGGGCTGAGTGACAGGCAGCAAGGCCAATAGGAAGCAAGGAGGTATCCCACCTTTTCCCAGTCCTGTTCCCAATTCCCATTCCCCAGTTCCCAATCCCATTTTTCCCATTCCCAGTTCCCAGCCTTGTTCCCAGTCCCAGTTCCCACTCCCATCCCCCCAACACCGCCAGCAGCTTTTATTTTGAAATTCCCGCACTGGTGTAATGAGACTCCATCAATCAATCAATAATTAACCAATAATTAATCAATAATTAACCAATTCCCATCCAGCCGGCCTGGATTTCCGTAAGAACCGTTAAAAAAAAACAAAAAAAAATGAAAATTTACAGCAGCGCCCTCCCGTGGCCGGCCGGGGGGGTGGGACAGTGCAACAGTGCAGGGGGGGGGACATTGGGGACACTGGGGGGACATCGAGGGTCTCGGGACCCCCCCATGTCACCCCAGGGTCCCCTGGGCAGGGTGG